TGCCTTTATCGAAGTTCGGTGGGCGAGCCAGGGAATGGGCCTTCACTTCTGGATCCTTGATAGAAGATGCTGATCTCACCTGGGACATGCTAAAAAGCAGCTTTCTCGGGTGTTTGCCTCGTCAAAGGAGGCATATTGCGTGTGGTCACGCTTCCTGTTATCAAACTAGGGTAAAATAGACTTAGTCGATTATGTCCAGGAGTTGAAAACTCGCTTGGCTGCTATGCAACTTGACCCTAAACCTGAGACGGTTCTGGTAATCACTTCTATGGAGGGTCTACGCACTGACGTTGCGATAACAGGAGTGTTCCGTGCATGATCCTTGACATTTGAGGGTGCGGTGGACATAGCGTTGCACGCAGAGTTAAACTAAAAAGTTGCCCGTTACGGGACTCATCGGTTTCAATCGACCTCGTCGAGAAGTCACATCTTATGGATAGGGAAAAAACCCTTTGACCTTAGTCACGCTGAGACACGAAGAAGATAAGCTTCACTCTGTATAAAAGCGTTCGAACATCCGTAGATGTTTAACGTGTGGAAGCACCAAACGTCTTTGCCTTAATTGACCTTTGAAAAGGACCAGACAGGCTCATTCGAGCCTAACTCCTGTCGCTATCCAACGAGTTGGTAAGGCACGAATAAATGTCGAGTTCCAGTAGGCGCGGGGCGCCCTGCTGGGGAATCTTTCGACTCTGTTATACTTCTGGGAGGTGATGGAGAGCAGAGCCTATCCCCAATGGCTTCGTGAGCAATGTCACAAAGCAAAAGTATAAGCCGGGCTTATTAGATGCGAAAGCAACAGTGAAGGTCAAAGGTCAGCCATGGTCAATATCATTCGACTCCGGGGCGTCGGGAAATTTGTACGACTTTGTTCTTTGGAAGGAAGTCAGCAGTATGCCGAGGCTCTGAAAGCGCGAAAGTATGAGAACACCACTGTCCGCTTGGCGACGGGTGCGTTGATCACTGTGCCTAAAGTCCATGTGAACTTGGGCGTGACGTTTTGGTACTTTGACAGTATCGAAAGCTGTCTAGTCCTTGACTTGGATAAGAGGTATGATCTCATCCTTGGTATGGCTTTGCTAGAGCGCCGTGAGCCATGTATTGATTGGAAGTCCAAGACCTTAGGTGCAACGCGCACTGTTCCTTGTAGATCTTTACAAAATAATGATCCCACCTCTGCTAGAAAAAACAGAAGCGCTATTGGCACTATCCATGGACAGAAATAGTCTGTGAGCTGGACATCAGTGTTGCTGAACGCACTGAATTGGAAGATGTCAAAAACATTAGCTGCGAGCCAAGCTCGCTGACTGTTAGTGAAACGGCACGTACTATGTCGATTGAAATTGTTATAGTAACGAAACTCTGAAGGCTGAACGCATTATTGGTCTATAGCAAATTCATTATGGGCTGAAACCACTTGGTGGGCGTGAAGTGGCACGCGAGTACCCACTTAGCGATGTTGGTCGTGATCGCGGCACACTGAATATCAACCAAGACACCTTTCGGTGACACACCAAATTATCAAGGAAGACGCCTATTTTATGAACGTGGAGTAGCACGTAAGTACCTGCCGGGTGGTGGTTTCACTGAAAGGGACTTATAACCAGATGTTGGTAATGACAATGGATCTGATAAAGGTTGAATTAAGGTGTACGTAGTCCGTAACCTTAGGGACAGTGTAGTCCCAGATGTCGGTGATGACGTCGGCCCTTATATTGGAAAAATTAAGGTTAAAGCAGTTTCTCACCTTTAGTACAGTAAAGTCCCGGAAGTTGGTAATGACATCGGCTCTGGTAAAAACTTAAATTTGATGGTCAAGTCAATCTTGGGGAAATTGATGTCCTGGGTGTCGGTATTGACACCGGCTCTTGTACAGAGCAAGTCAAGGATAACTATGCAATTAATATTATGTTCGAGAAACTTTCAGTATCTTTGAGACGTTCTGTCTCTCCACAAAGACGACAGCGACGCCAGATTGCTGTTATACAACGCAAGGCGTATATTACATTACTAAGTAATACTAGTGAGCAGCTATATACGCTCGTTATAGGAGTGACTAGTGAAGTTGATGGATCAGTATACATTGAGACTCTTCCCTCAACGAATACAGTGTTAAAGCTAGACGGAATGTCTGTCGATATGTTTGGCCTAAAAGTATAGTTAGTTTATTTATCTAAAGTGGTTGTCATTAGATACGATAGTGAGTTGAACTTGTCCTCACTTTTTTAAGAAGCTGTCTTAAAAGACAGAAAGACATTACTGAATGCTCGAAGTGGGTCATCGACCCTGCGGTATCTAAAAGAGCTTTAATCCTCTGATTAAGAATTTTTAAGATGCTGTGTGTCACGATTCACCTTCCCCTCTGCCTCTTCAATGAGGCGTAGGTCATGAAATTGACCCGGTTTCTGGAACTAAAGACTGCGTGACAAGGCAATGGTCTTTACAAAGGAGCAGTGCGACGTCATCAAAGCGTTTCTTTCGTGCAAAGCACGCGGAGGCATGATGCGTGAGAGCAAGCCTCCGCACTCGGCACCGACATTTTGTGTCAGAAAGCCAAATGGCAAGCGGCACATTGTGCATGCTAACTATACACTTAATGCAGCCACTATACCGGCACAGACACCTAATCCTAATAAGGTGTTCTGAAGAACGTTATGGTAGGTTGTACCATGTTCAGTGCACTCGATTTGGTCGATAGGTCTTATCAATTGCTTATGAGAGCGAGCGATATTCCGCACACAGCGGTTATTAATACGAGCAGTATGCTTTGGGATTGGCTTGTTATGCCTCAAGGGCTGTCTAGTGCCCCGGCTACTTTCGATCGTCTTGTGACGCAATTATTCCGACCTCACCGATAATACGCACCAAGCTTTTTCGATGACATCTTTGTCCATAGCCGTGCAGATCATGGTAGGTCGGATGTGGACGATCAAATTGACAATTTACCAGCAGTGGTCAATTGCATGCGTACAAGTAAGCTGTTTGCAAATCGTCGAAATGCACTTTCGGTGCGGAAGAATCTCCCTTTGTAGGGCGCACTACTGGGAAGCGTGACCTTCGAGCGGGTCCCGCTAAGGTAAAGTCAATTCTTGACTCGCCGGTTTTTTCGAACCAAAAGGACTTGCGTAACTGGCTCGATATTGCTAGTTACTTGCACAAGTACAGTGCAAACTACGCTGAAATGGCAAGGCCATTAACCAAATTTCTTAAGACACAAGCAGTTTAGTGTTAAGACGCAATCCATGCTCAATCCTATAAAGATACAAAGGGCAGTCTAGTTCATGCTCCAATTTTGCCTTTGTTAGACCCTGAGCGGCCTTTCAGTGTCGTCCGTGACGCGTCTGATTCTGCGAGTGGTTGCGCATTTTTTGAGACAGATGTAATTGAACATGGACGCGTCATTGCGTATGTATCTCTATATCTAAAGGCTGCATAAAATACTATACGGTTCACGACAAGAAGTTTCTTGCAATTAAATATGCTTTTGTTAAGTCCAGAGTCCATATCCTTGGCTTAACGTCTTTTGTGATCTACACAGATCATGCGTCATTACTCACTGCAACACAGTCGCCTCACCTCTCACAGCGTATGGCCCTTTGGCTTTCACTCTTTGCTGAATAAAACCTTAAGGTAGATTAACAGCCGGGCAAGAAAAATGTTTAGACTCATGCGTTGTCATGTAGACCTGCTTATAATCTTGCTCATGTTGCAACTTCGTCGTCATCCATTTATGGATAAGATCGTGCGGCATTTGCATAAAAATGAGTAATGCGTATCATTGCTACATGCTCTTATAAGCAAAAGGTTTCACGACTCGGACATTGAATTGTCGTCACATTTAAGTGCGAGCCTACATCGGTATGTCATCGATAGTGGGTTGTTGATCTATAGCACGGGTGCTATGATTTTGCCTCGCATCGGTGTTACTCATGATAAGGACTTAAAGTTTTGTAGTAAATTTGAGGCACATGACACTGCTTTAAGCAGTCGTCTCATTTAAAAAAAAGATTTAGCTTAATTGGCCATACGTATTGGTGGCCTGATTTGTACTAATAGGAGAGCAAATATCTGCGTCGTGTGAAACGTGTCAACGAATTTTTATTAATTATTTAATTTTTTTTTGCGGAACCTTCTTATGAAATTTAGTTAAAATGTTTATACTACATTGTTTTGTGATTATAGATTATTAGGTAGTTCTTTATTTTCCAAGTAAATAGTGTGGGTTAGCGTCCTACTAATCACAATTTATTTAAGGATAAATGGCTAATCAAACCCTTAGCACATGCATTGCACCGCTTGCTAGTTGACCTGTACCTACTGGATGTAAGGAGTACATCAGTATAGTCTTTTTGTTTGGCGTACCGAAGGATTCGGAAGGTAACGCTGTGTTTGTGGTCGTTGTTGACCGTTTGATCAAGATGGTTCCTTAAGTGGCTGTTCCTGATCCCATCTGTAACGGTCACACTTTGTTTGGGTTCCACGAAACTTCATGTACAATTGTACGTGCAGAGGAAGCTAATCTACATAAATGCTTAAGCTGAGTAAAGGGTAAACAGAGAACTGTACTTAATATAGTTAAGCTATCAATACAACTTTAATCGTTATCTGACTATATGGAACTACGTCGTCGTATGACGACGACCTGCTCACCACTCATTGCGCGCGTCTAGCAGCGATTGGTGGTAATCTATGGTTGATATGTTTTATATCAACCAATCTTTGAGCAGCGCATGAATATTATCCTAGAAGGGGATAATATTTCTTCAATATTATCCATCTCGGAATCATATTGGTAGAACATTGTCATGCTATTCAATGTATTTATTGACACCGTTTTTCGTCAATGTCATGTAACGGGCTACCCCGTTACACCCCCCCCCTTAACCATCAATCACCCGTTGATTGAATTGAAATTGATTGGGACAGGGTGGCCACCGTTGGAGTACTCTGGGATAGAGAGCACATGTTGGTCAAATTCCATTCATTTGCAAATCCAACGCATGGTTTTAAAACCCAAGCGACTTGCTACTGCAGCAGTAAGAAAGGCGGCTGCACGCATGCGTGTAACTGGAGAGAGTACTTATCACGCCTCAGCAGCAGGTGATTCGTCGCCTATTGTTGTGAGCTGTCCCCGTGGTGAGTTACCACGTGCGGCAGGTACATCCGCTGCGTCTGCAGCGGGTACCGCAATTCGCAATCCAGATGATCCTGAAATAGAGCTCATCCATTCTGGCGAGTCGGATGATGTATTTGACTCGAAGGCGACACATCACGCCTCCGTATCACCCGTGGTGGACACTGAAAGAGCCAGGTTGACTGGCTCCGGTAAAACTGGCGGTTTCATGTCGAGATCTTCGGACCGAGCAATTGTTCCGCCGAATCTCCGTCTCACGCGAGTTCATCAAAAGATGGGAAGCTTGGTGATGGTGGTGATGCCTCTGAGCATCACCACGAGCGGAGAAACACAAAGGATCAAGGTAACACTGGTGTCAGTGCTCATGCTGACACCAATCAAGAGGCCAGGGACCGAAATGTCGTCGCCACGCTCCCAAAGTGGAGTCTTCGTGGATGCCGCCATCCAGAGAGTTAAATCGGCTGGCCGGCACGACTACCGAACGGGATCGAATCCCTTTGTTCGATTGCAGGAAGATTTTCCCACCTGATATCAGCACGGAAACTATCCGTGCTGAGTAAGAATTCATAACCAATGCGTTTTTCGAACATCGGTGGTACAATGGCAGCCGTGTTTAAGACGGTAAAGCCTTGGTGCAAAAATGGAATGCCCTCACATAACATCGAGTGCATTGGCCGTGAGTCCTGGCTCGGTAAACTTGATGCAGCTCGCTTCAGGTTTGAGAAGCGCAACCCAGTCGGGGCGCAAAACAAGTTGCACCGGTTGTCAAGAGAGACAGGATTACCCTGTCTCTCGTGATGTGATTTGTGTCCAGGTTGCCTGGACAATGCTTATCATTTTACTAGGAAGGCCTACCTCCCTAATGATCCCTACTAATAGGCGCGCATCTCTTCCGAGATGGCCGAAGGGATTAAAATTTTGCAATCCCTGCACTCGCGTTCGGGGAGGTCGTTTTCGACGGCCCTTCTTCGAATGCACCGGGTGGGTCTCGTCGTACTGCTCGACGAGACCGAGGACATCAACAGTCAGCTGGGCACGAGGCTCCCAGCTGTCCCACGCCGGTGAATATCCACGCCAGCGGACGAGGTAACACGTCCGGACGCCATTCACGTCGCGGTGGTTCAAAATACGCTCCGCTAGGAAGCGTTGACCACCGCTTGAGTCCGCCGAAGGATGTGGTGGCGGCGGAACACCCGATCCGACTCGAGGGTCGGATCAGCTTGATGTTTAAGAGCTGAACCGTGTAACGGAACAGTTTCAGAATGGCCTGGCTCAAGAACGGACTCGGCGTTATGGGCTTATGGATCTTGTAAGGGATTATTATAATTCCCTTACGCACGATCGTTCGGACGATCGTGCCGCTTTTGCGCTCGCGCAACTTGAGAACGAACGTTCTACTCGTTCTCTTCGTGACGAGCTGGCGATAGCTTGTAGTGACATCACTGAACTTCGTGAACAGATTGCTTCGATGGTCGACCAGAATGGCTCGTTGAAACGGTCTCCACTCGAATATGGTCTCAGCTCTTGACCCGGGAGGTGTTCTTCCCATCTCGAAACGGGCTCGCACTGATAGTACGGGCGGAGACGACCGACGTAAAACGTAGTATGCGTACGCATCTTACGGGGCAGTTCAATCGTGTATGCGTTGCCCATTCGGCGCAACACCGATTTACCTGGGCGGTAATGTGCTGCTGCCCACGTTAGTCACCGCATGTTTCGGTAGGTTTACTGTAGACAGTAGAATTTAGTCTCCTTCATCAAATGAAAGATCATTCGCTCTTCCATGTTTGTCTGCGTTTCTGTTCTGCTCGTCTTTTGCATCTGCAATAGAGTCTTGAGCGAAGCAGACAACCGCTTCGCCAGTCAGCAGAAATTCCTCTGCTGATTTATCCTTGTCAACAGCAGTGCGCTTCGTGTGCACTGCTGAAAGAACGTTGTCTTCACCAGTGAGGATGTCATCGTCCTCACTTTGGCAGTCATTGGCGATGCTGAATATACCAGCATCGTCGTCATCATCATCATCGATATAGACTGCATCGACATCGGCACCCATCACGTCGACAATGGTGTCGACGTGTGATGAGCAAAAACCATATCGGTTTTGGTTCGAGCGAGTCCACCCCCCCCCTAAACTAGAGTCACAATATTAGAAGGCGGGTAAACGTGGATGGAGTAGGCCATTCAAAAGAACGGTGTATGCGTTGTCTACGCATGCACCGAATCGTTGAGGGCGAATTCCGCCATCGGCAAGAACTCACTCCAACTCGTAAACGAGTGGACGTACTCTCGAAGTATCTCTTCGAGGACGCGGGTGACGCATTCCGTCCAGATATCTGTTTCTAAATGGTCAGAAGTTGACATCTTTAAACGTGTTTCGAGTGAACGGAACACGGATTGCCAGAACTTCGCTGTGAAGCGGGGTCTCTATCAGACACGAGTTCACGGGGTAACCCGTGAAGTCAGAAGATAGTTTCAATAAAGACACGAGCGCAGCACCGGGCTGTGATTGACCCCAGTAAAGTAACAAGATGTGTCATCTTGCTGAACCGATCAACAAGCACAAGATAACCAGCATTCTTGTGAACGTCTTTGGGAAACCCGAAGACGAAGTCCATCGATACGGACTGCCAACAATCTGCCGGAATTGGTAGAGTCTGCAAGGGGTACGCGGGATGAAGGAATAGTATTCACCCGTTGACAGACTTCGCAAGCGCGGAAGTATTTTCACATGATTTTAAATTGGCGGGGTCAGTAGAAGTCACGACTTACCGTGAGATAAGCCTTTTTTCTACCGCGATGCCAATTTGTTGGGGCATTGTAACACTCATACATGATGCGCAGTCGCAAATTATTATGAGCGGGAACGACGACACGATGTGTGCCGCCGTTGACTGCTGTATAGTACAGCAGTCTATCACGAACCAGATACCGTTCGGTTGAAGAGCGTTATTGAGACGACAAGCTTTTTAAATCTTGATTACACGGACTGTATACGTAATCCATCAATCGCAGAAGAGACTCGTCTTCTGTGTATGCTTTTCGCACGTCATCGAGCAAATTCTACGACGGAACACTCACTTTTAGTGTCGCTACAGTGGGATCACTCCTACTGTTGTGTTGAGCCTTCGGCTCGAAATCGGGCTGATGCGAAAGAGCATCAGCGACGACATTAGGTCTTCCTGGTTCATACTCGACGGAGAAGTTGTACTCCGCGAAGAAAAACAGACACCTTGCCATTCGTTGCGAGAGGTGTGGACTGTTTACGGCTGTGCGTAACGACGCATGGTCGGTATAAACGATGAAGGGCCTATCGCCTAAGCAATATGCCCAAAACTTAGCCAGTGCATATTTCATGGCAAGGATTTCCTTGTCATGCACCGGGAAATTTCGCTCAGCTGCTTTCAGCTGACGCGATTGATGACAGACGACGCGCTCAACGCCGTCTGAGTCGTACTCCATTAACGCGCAGCCGATTGCAAAATCGCTGGCGTCACGGATCACATGAAATGGTCTGTACTGGTCTGCAATATCCAACATAGGCGATTGTATCAAGCTTTTCTTGATACCTTCGAAGGAGTGCTGACACTCAGCACTCCATGACCACCTCTCGTTTTTCTTTAACAGACGACAGAGATGTACGGTCATCTCGGCGTAGTTGCGCGAGTACTTGTGCAAGTACGCCGCTAAGACAAGGAACTTTCAAAGTCCCTTGACGTCGACTGGCACAGGCCAGTCGCTAATCGCCTTGATCTTTCATGGATCAGGGCGTACGCCGTTTTTACCCACGATGCAGCCAAGAAGTGGTATTTCGTTCGCTACAACATACACTTCTTAAGGTTCGCGAACAACTTGTGCTCCCGCATTAGTGTGATAACCTTCCGGACGTGGATTCTATGAACCTTTTGGACGTGGATTCTGTGAACCTCCACGTCCGTCTTTCCATCCATAGACCGGCTATGGACGAAGAAATCGTCAAAGTAACTCGGTGCGAAATCGCGCACCGATCGCAACATATTCATCACACATCTTTTAAACGTTGCAGGCGTGTTACTTAGCCCCTGTGGCATCACTAGCCTCTTCCAGAGAATACCACTGGGGTGCTCACTGCTGTGTACGGGATGTCCCGCTCACGCATGATGATCTGATAGAAGCCGTCCATCATATCCATGGACGAAAAGATGGTACTTCTTGACATACCATCAATTATTACGTCCTTCCTTGGTATCGGCGTTTGAGCCGGTACCGTTGCAGCTTTCAATTTGTTAAACGCGTGCACTATCCGCCACCCTCCTCTGGCCTTTCGCACACAGAAGGTCGGAGAGCTGTGTGGGGATGTTGGATCCCTCACATGAACAGCCGCTAGTCGATCGGCAAAGAATTTGTCGATCGCTGTGACCTGTTCACGAGGCAGTGGCCACTGCTTCATGACACAGTATTTCGAACCAGGTTTAAGTTCGATCTCATGCCGAGTGCCTTTGTCTTTGAGAAGCTCGCATGGCACGGATTCCGGGGAAACATCCCTGATTCCACCAAATCCTTATACAAAGGATTTGTCTTTAAAGACTCCCAAGATTGAGACGTGTATCGCTCAATCCGGGTCTTCTCATCGAGGACACTCTCGTCCATAGATGAACTACTGAGAACCCGGTTGTTCTTAGCAAACACTTGTGCCGACCGAATATCGGCGACGTACTCATCCTCTGTGATGAGTACACAGATCTGCTTCATCTTGTCACTACGCAGATCTCGCAAGACTCTTTTAGATTCTAGCGTTGGCAACTTGACTACCTCCGAAGCTGACTTCGGGGCGCGAAATTAAATCAAGTGTATAAGCGCCTACACTTGACCCGTCATTCACCAAGACATCCACTGTCTCGGTGATTTCCTGGGTAACACGTCCGCAGGTAATTGGGGATCCACACCCTCAACCTAACTCTCTTGAAAGTTATTGCTCTCAGAAACGCTAAATTTTCTTCCGTTACGGGTACTATAACGGTCACGTCCTCTTCGATCGACTCTCTTTCAGTCGATCGGGCTTGCTCTACGATCGACTCTCTGATAGTCGGTCTCGTTTCAACGTGTTGTCCATCCTGAACAACACTACTCTCTCTTCTCGGATGCACCCTTCTTAGTGTGCATCCGTGTTCCAGTCCACTCGATCTCTTCGAGTGGGGAACCTTCGGCGCAGCCTGTGTCTCTACACAGGTACCGGAAGCTGGTTCCACAGTGTAGTGGTCTTCTATACTGTGATATTGTGCAGTCGTACTAACGAACGTACTACAAGTGAGGCCATCGCACTCACCCGTAGTACATCCACACGCTTGTGGACGCACCGAGACGTTCATCACATGGACATCTGATGAAAAGCGGCAGACATCATCACGGATCGATGCTGCCAGCTGACCCATGGCCGGAACTATCTAAGCTATGGCAGACCAAGGATGACATCAAATTTGTCATCCAAATTTAATACCATAAATCATAATCGTACTGCTTTCCTTTTAGCGTGTAGTGGATTCCCACTACACT